CTGGGGTTCCTGAATACGTCACAAACTTGTCAATTACGGTCTTCTCCTACGCTTTTGCACCGGGTCTTTCTTTTTGCATCATTATCAGAGTTCCATGGTCGATGAAACGTGTTTATTGCCACGACTCCGATATACATGGCCTTCACATACCTATGCGCATTTCCTCCCAGCTTTGCTACTCTGCTTGTCGGGCGCTTCTTGGGCAGTACGTTCATCGCCGCGAGCATCAGCATCGCCCCAAGCGTTCTAGTTGATCTGTAGGAACCTAACGAGAGGGGCAATGTCACTGCTGTCTTCTTCTTCCACTTCAGCTGGGTGGGGCCTTCTGTCAAGTCCATAGTTTCTGGGTTCTGCGAGCTGAAAAAGGCCTGGCAATGGGCGTTCTACACGGCGTTGTGGGTTTGGGCCGCCGCAGTGATCCCCATGCTGACGCTGGCCAAGACATGCGTCCACGATTCAGTCGCAAAAGGCCGGCTGTATCAAGGCTGCTAAAGTCCCCGGCTATGAGAACTTCACGTTGTACGCGGAGGCCATGAGCCCTTCCCTCCTCGGCATGTACAAGATTGCCCTCACATGGCCATGGTGTCTACTCGTCAGTCACATCTCTACCGCGTGTGCCATTTACATGGCCTTTGCCTTCACATTGTACTATATTTTGTTCCAGTATCTACCCCACCGCTCTCTAGGATATGCGTGGGTGGAACCTTGGTGTTGGCCAGCTCCCCCTGATGGGGTCGGTAATCGGGGCTGATCTCGGTGTTGTTATAATGTCCCTGGATACGCGGCGTCGCATGTGCCGAAGCAAGAACAGACAAGAGCTACCACCAGAAGACCGTCTGCTTATGGCCATGCTCAGCGGTGTCAGGTTTCGGGTTGCAATGTTCTGGTTTGCATAAACAGGCCAATTCAAGTAGGCCAATCTTTGTGCCGTTTTGACAAGAAAAGGCGTGCTCTGTACAATAGAACTCGGCTAATGTCTGCAGCTCAAATTACTGGTCGGTGTCTGGGATCGCAGATGTTTGTCTATCGGCGAGTCTTCTGCTCATATTTGTTGCGATGACCAACTACCTACTGGACACCTATCAACATCTGACTTCGTCAGCTGTGGCGGCCAACATATTTGTCTGCTCACTCGGCTGCGCATTTCCTCCCCTGTTCACTAGCTTCATGTTTGAGGCACTTGATGGAGGTGGCGGAGGTTCGCTAATTCCCGGAGTTGCGGTGCTGTTTGCACCGGTCCCGTTCATATTTTACCGGCATGGTTCCAGGATACGGGCCAGGAACAAGGACGTCCCTACTGGTGCGACCGAGACAGCACATCTGTACAGTCCCGCGTAAGGTTCGAATCTAGAGAATGGCGGACAGCAGGTAAAGCAAACTCACATCATGGACGGCTCAAGACGGCAAGGAGCCTTTTGTACGATATGTATGCACATCCTAAAACACCACCGAGTAACGCTCGCGACGCATAGAGCATAGATATCAAGTACCTAGCTTGCGTTCAATCGCAAAGGGCTCATTTCCGCTATGTTTGGCCTCGTCATTAGCATCTGTATGCGTCTTCGATAATGACACAGTTTGGAGTTCTGTACCAACCATTTTGATGCCAATGCAGAGCACCTGTGGGTGGGGTGCTGAGGATCACCAATGACTGGTGGTGCAACGGCAGAGTGATTAGCACGCACTTGAACACAGTATTCGCCCTGCTCGGATTACCTTTTTAAGAAAGAAGACATGTCTCTCCCCAAGGCGGGAGAGCTTAAAACTATGGACGGGTGGCGGGATCCCAAAACCGTTGAAGGCAAACCCCAGATTGAGGCATGCTCTCAGGTTGTGGTATCCCCGATCATTTCGCTGCTTGTCTAGGCTTTACTACAACACCAAAATGGTCAGATCGATCAGGCCAGATCAGAAAACGAGCCAGCGAGAGGGTTCCCCCCTCTGCTCGCATGGCACGAACCATCATTCCCGCCCTTGGTCATGCCCAACGTCGAGCTCGGGATGCCCGTTTAGGCCTAGGAGAAAGATCAGCCTGCAAGTGGCCAAGGCCGGTTCCCCGGATTCATGGCACTTGGCTAAGGCTTGAAGCTAGGGGACTGGTAAGGCGGCAGAGGCTTGACCCGCACATCCCTCCGCTCAGTGGGTGTCCTCTCAAGCAATGACGTCTTGGCCCCGTCCCGACCGCCCGTTCTTCGCCCGTATTTTGGTCGTGTCACGTCTCAACGTGGAGAATTTCAAAATTTTCTACGTCGTGGGAAAATATCGCAAGAATGAAGCAGTGGAGGCTGATGATGTCAACTTCGTGGAGCAGAAGTGGTTTCAATGGGTCCGAAAGGGGAGACAAATTTAGGATCGTGATTCCCGTTTCCGGGGATTGTGGATGAGAGCACAGCAGTCATCAACTGGAAGCTTGAGTTCGCAACCACCGCGTTGGATTTCCATTCTCCCGGCACGTCCAAAAAAGGCATTCCTTGGCTGTGATAGAAAGTACTTGCAGAGCGAACGTGAGCGTGACCACGAATGTATCGGCAGACATGTTTTCGCCTTTTCTCAAGCCAAGACTTCCTCCGGGTGACATGCCGACCAGGTGAAGGATGTTGCCAGGATTTCGAGCCCTTCCGGGCGCTGGTGCCGTCTCTGAATGGTTCATTTTGCCCGACTGGGCCTTGTAGCCGCTTTGTTGCACGAGGTTGTGGAGTCCGAATTGAGTAAAACCGATGGGGCAACGTCGTGAGAGGCTGGTTCATAGATGACCTGACTCGGTATAGGGCGGTGTTATTGTTTCCGATGACGTCTTGGTACGATTCGTCTACTGACCATCTAATGTGTTGCTCCACATTTGAGATGTTGGAGTCGAAAGAATCCAGCGTGATGAGTGAAGGGCGATCCCATGAGGAAAATGGACTAACAAGCCTTCTCCAAGAGTCTCTGGAAGTATATGAGTCTGGGCGTCTCCTCTGATCTTCAGTCTGAACGTTGGCACGTGGAGTTCATTGTTCTTGTCCTACTCTTAACTTGTGGACCGTTTCTAGTGGACCTGGCGATCCTCAAGCCTTTCACAAACGCATCCTACTGTCGACTTTGTTTTTCCGACACAAGATTGAATCTTATCCATCAGACACCATGGGTATTGGGGACAAGTTCTTCGGCCTACGTGGCAAAAAGCTAGGATGGATGATCGGCTTCTGTGCTGGCATGGACTTTCTGCTGTTCGGTTATGGTACGCGCCTCTCGACGTCTAACATTCCGCTTGCTTGAGAAAGGCTAACCCTTCGCAGATCAAGGTGTAATGGGTGGTATACTGACGCTGAGGATTTTCTTGGACCAGTTCCCTGAAATTGTAAGTCACTTAGAACGCTGGAAATTGTTCCTTGTGACCACGCAGCTTGCTAACCAAATGCCTCCAGGACCCGGATGTATGTTGTTTCTTACCATGCGCCAAGCTCTGGCCGTACTAATGAAAGATAGACTGCCACGAATGCCGCTGAGTCGAGTACTCGTGCCACACACCAAGGCATCTCGATCGCAAGCTACAACCTCGGTTGCTTCTTCGGCGCCATCCTTGCCATCTTCATCGGAAACCCCTTGGGTCGCAAGCGTATGATCATCCTCGGCACGGCCATCATGGTTGTCGGCGCCGCTCTGCAGGCTTCAGCCTTTGGCATTGCTCACCTGATTGTTGGTCGCATCATCACCGGTCTCGGCAACGGCATCAACACGTCGACGGTGCCCACGTGGCAATCAGAGACGTCAAGCTCCCACAAACGCGGGAAGATGGTCATGTTCGAGGGTGCTCTTATCACCGCTGGTATCATGATTAGTTACTGGATTGACCTTGGGTTCAGCTTCGCTGCTGGTAGTGTCGCCTGTAAGTGCCCTCCTACTCAAGGAGTGATGCCCCGCAGTCGTGTACTGACACTTGTTTGCAGGGCGTTTCCCTCTGGCCTTTCAGATCTTCTTCTGCATTCTCATTCTTGCCACTGTCTGGAAGCTTCCTGAGTCGCCCCGGTGGCTCATGCTCAAGGGCCGCGAGCATGATGCAAGGGAGGTGATCTCAGCGCTGGCTGATCTTCCCATGGATCACCAGTTTGTCGAGAACGAATTTACGTCCATTAAGGAGACTGTCGCCGAGATGTCCAAGGTCAGTAGACTCATCCCGACGTAAATTGAACAAGGCACTGACGTTATCTCAGGGTTCCTTCAAGGACTTGTTTTCCAACGACGAGAACCGCCATTTGCACCGTGTTGTTCTGGCCTACGTCAACCAGATGTTCCAGCAGGTTCGTACAACCTACCGTTCAAACTGGCAGAAGAAAGCTGCTGACCTGTGCTCTAGATCAGCGGCATCAACCTCATCACGTACTACGCAGCGGTTATTTACAGCGGAGTAAGTCTCATGTTACTAACAAGGGTATACGAACGAATATTGACAAGAAACAGCTCGGCATGTCGCCTTTCATGTCCCGCCTTCTAGCGGCTCTCAACGGAACTGAGTACTTCCTCGCCTCGCTGCCTCCAATCTGGCTCGTCGAGCGCGTCGGTCGCCGCAAGCTCATGCTTTTCGGCGCAGCAGGCCAGGCCGCGACCATGGCCATCCTGACGGGCGTCAACTCACAGGATGGCACCGCATTCAAAATTACCGGAATCGTGTTCCTCTTCATCTTCAACACCTTCTTCGCCATCGGCTGGCTCGGCATGACGTGGCTCTACCCGGCCGAGATTGTGCCGCTGCGCATCCGCGCGCCCGCCAACGGCTTCAGCACGTCGGCCAACTGGATCTGGAACTTCATGGTCGTCATGATCACGCCTGTCAGCTTCAACGACATTGGACACTACACGTACCTCATTTTCGCCGTCATCAACGCCATCATCGTGCCCGTCGTCTACTTCTTCTACCCGGAAGCGGCCTTCCGCTCGCTCGAGGAGATGGACGCCATCTTCCAAAAGGCCAAGGGCGCCGCCGGCTGGTTCTCCGTCGTCAAGATTGCGCACGACGAGCCGAGGCGCTATGGCAAGAACGGCGAGCTTCTGATCGATCACGACGACGCTGAGGAGAAGGGCCGCCACATGCACCACTCGGTCGACGGCAGCGATTCGCGGTCCGCCGACGGCATGTTCAACCGCGTGGACGACGAGCGCAAGCGCAGCGAGAACTAGACTGGAGGATAGTGGTAACGGGAGCAGAGAGACTGTGGGAAAGTTTTATGCCATGACGGCGAAAGTCGAAGATAGGAATGGCCCTGCCGCGCGCAAAGGCGCTTACATTCTGCACAGATACCCCTTATTTTCTAACCAAGGCCTGGTCCCTTTTTTGCACATTTCATATAGGAGATCGTTTTCATAGAGAGATGGCCAAGTTTTACCTGATCATAAGAGAATACTATGCGGTCCTAATGTGAACAACTGCTTTCCCATCAACTCGTCCCTCGTGTGCTGTCCTGGACTGGCACCGGCGGTTCTTGCCTAGACACATCAAGCAGAGACTGAGAGTTGCTGCTGTTCGAGCCTTCGGCCTTGGTCTTCTCGAACTCTTGCCAGCGTAGGGTCTCCTCCGGCAGAAGCGCCCCTGGGAAAAACTCATCCCTCATAACACGGCCGAGGCCCGGGTACCGCTCCTCGACCTCAAACAGTGTCCGCATGACCTTTGTCTTGCCGATGGCCTCGACAAAATCGAGGGGCACCCCAAAATGCTCCGGGCGGCGCGTCCAGCCGGCGACGAAGACGTTCTGCAGGATGCCCAGGCCCCCAATGCCGAGCAGGAACCACGTGTCGTCCCTAATACCGGCGGCGGTGATGAGCAGGAGGATCCACAGGATGGCGAGGGCGAGCACGGAGCCCCGCGTCCAGTGGTGGGCCGACGTATCGAGGTTGTTCTGGCCGGCGGCTAGGTCGGCGAGGTTCATGCCGTGGCCGTTGCCGAGGATGACAATAGCGTGCTGGGCGCCGTTGCCGCGCGTCAGGACGTAGGCATCGCGCGAGCTCATGCGGCACGCCCACTTCTCGAGCCGCCACTGCGGCAGCAGGCCCGTCAGCAGCGCGAGCAGCGTGCCGCACGCCGTGATAAGGAGGATGCCCCAGTGGCCGGACAAGGCGAGCGGCACGGCGGCGAGGCCGAGCTGCAGCGCCATGGTGACGAAGCCGCTCCAGTATACGAGGTCGGGCTCGGGCAGGCCGGGCTTGCGCTCGGTGCTCGGGCGGTAGACGGAGACGATGAGGCCGCCGCGATGGGGCGTGGGGCTTTGGCCGTCCCTTGCCCTTGATCTCGAGCCATCGCTCATCGAGGACTTTCTTTCCTCCTTGGCCCTGGTGCCCGGGTGGCACCATGTCTCAAAGTCGCGCACCATCCTACCGATGATCCAACTCGAGTTCTCCATCTGTATGCCCGTCTTGCCGTTCATGACGATGCACTGGCAGTCTGGCGCCTGGGGCATGAGCTTGTTCTCGCCGACGGCGGAGGTCAGTGCCGACAGCGAATACGCTACCCATCCTGCATGTCGGTGTGAGCCGTTGTGACGGACCGGAACAAGTAAGGGGCAATGAGCATACCGAAGGAGAAGGTGACAGGCGCCACTCCACGCCCGGCAAGTTGAGCCAGGGCGCGAGCGACGATCTCACCACCGAGGAGGAGGAGTACACTGAAGACATCTCCAGGTCTCGTCCACTGGTCTCTAAACTCATTCGATGTCGACGCTGTTGAGAAGTCGCGCGACGCAATCAAAGGCAGCCTAGGCGGCATTGCGAGCTTGAGGCGGGACAGCCAGCGTCAACAGCTGCTGTTTGATGATGCTCGCCAGAGTGAAATTCCGCCGTTAAGCATGAGACGTAAGGGTTACGTTCAGCTCATTCGCGTCGTTGGAAAATCTCAGGCAGACACATCGCACGACTCAGCGATCAGTAGGCGCTTACAGCGGCTCAGGGTCGTAGATGGCCAGATGATAGCTAGCGCTCACCACCGAATCACTAGCTCTGAGCGACCCGTTCCGAGCTCCAAGGGCAGACGCGTTAGAGACATGGGTCAGGGGTTTTCGGTGGTGGCGGCGCCGTCAGCTGAACCATGAGCTGAACTGGGCTGGACACAAGCAACAGACCCAGCGTCGAGAACGACGCAACGTGCCCTTTTTCGACTTGGAAGTGTGCGATGGGGTGGCACTCCAGTGCTTGCCATGTGTATCGGGGCATAACCAGGCTATACGAGGCACTTAAAGTATAGAGGAGGCCGCGATAACTCGATTGAATTCCATAGCCGTAGCTGAACTTCTGAGCCTCGAGGCTTCCCTACCCTTCATCATCAAATCAGACAAGTGCAATAATCGCCCACACGATCACCCAAGTATCCACTTCTGGCTTCCGTAAATCGTTGTTCCAGGTACAGGAACAGCACTAGACTGGCCTTCGCTCTCGATACACAATCCAACCCGAACGCGGCAGACAAAGTCGCCGCGGATGCGGGACGGCGTCTGCGAGACACTTCTCAGCAACGCGCCTATTTCTTTAATGTTGTCGCCCTCCTCCGGCGGACGCTCGCCGACCCGGCACATGAGTATGACGGCCATCGCCTCGCCCTGCACCAGAGCAAAGGATGATGACTTGGACGGGGCGTCGATCTGCTCAACGGTGTATCGCAAGCTTGTCACCGAGTCCGAGACTACAAACATTCTGTCTTGCAGGCAGCGAACCGGCGCATCGTCCACGATCCAACCGGGCTTGGAGAACAGCAGAGCGCCGCCCTCAGCCTCGCTCTCGCGCTCGGCGTACTCGTCGTCCACAAGTGGCTCGCGGTACACGCCCATGGGAATCCAGCGGAAGCCTGGCTCGTCGTACCTCTGCCCGGGAATGAAGAGCAGCCCCGATGGCACAATGCTCTGCAACTGCACCCAGCGCCGCATGCGAACATGCTCATCCTCTGAGAACAGCGCTGGCAAGTGCTGCCGTTGACTGCCGCTGAGCGCACACATGATGGCGAAGCAGATGAACTTGTCCGACTCCTTGCTCGTAGCCCGCAACCGCATCGTTTCCCAAATAGCAATGATGCGCGTTGCCAGGACATCGGGGTGCGAATAAATGTGAGTGCCGCTCCACATGAGCTTCATGCCAATGAAGAATTTCTTCGTTTCCTCGAGCGTATACGATTGCAGTGCAAAGGTGAACTTGTTCCTCTCCATCTCCTCAAGCCGGCTCTTGCGAACGTCTGGCCTGGGATAATGGGGGCTGCCGTCGAGCCTCTTGGTGATCAGATTGAGGCCTTTGCCCTGCATGCGCTCCATTCCGTCGACGAAGCCTGGCATCGTGTAGCCCAGGGCGATACTTTGGTCGAGGTTTTCCTTCTTCCACAATGGCAGCTGCGCTGGCCCATCTCTAAACAGGAAACGTAGCCCCTGTGTCGAGAGGACGCCCTCCTGGAACGTCCACGCCCGTCGCTGCCAGCCCGACAGCCCAATATGCATGGCCAATTCTTCGTCGAGACAACCCTTGGCCTCGAGAGCTTGCAGCTCCGAGTCCAAGACGATGGTCATGTGCGCGGTAGAGTAGATCTTGGCCATGTTCGCAATGGCCAATTTTCTACTGTGGCCTCCGAGTGGCACGCAGAGCGTATCAAGCCAGATGGCAAGGGGTTTCTTGCGGTATTCTCGGATCGGATCGACGACGCGCTTGAGACCGGGAGCCATGAACTTGAAGGCCTTGCCGATGCCCTCGATGATCTTTTTTTCCGTCTGTCCGTTGGACTCAATGTCCTGGCCCGTCGTGTTGAGAACGTGGAGCGTCTCGTTCCAGCTCATGTCGACGAGTCGATCATAGAGGGACTGCAGTTGGCAGAGGGGCAGCGTGTTCGCGTGCGGGTTTCCGAGTCCATCAGACCAACTACCAAGTGTTAACAAGAGGCTACCACCGACACAGGGTCATCGCTCTTACACATGGCTGATGGCGATGTAGCTGTTCATCACAAGCCCGCCGTTCTTCAACTTGACGTCCAGCATGGGCGATCCGTACGCATCCACTCCAGAGTTCGTGATCCAGATGACCGGAATGCCCCCCTTTTCAATGATCCGATGCACCTCGCTCTGATCCACACCAACCATGTGGCACCGACAGCCTTGTGTGCGATGCTGCGTCACATATGTCTTCTCGTCAATATTGTTGAGGAGGCACGTCGCGCTCGAGCAGTTCCAGTGATCAAACGGCACAGTGCGCCTCTCCATGAAGCTCGCACAGAACATGGGAAGCTCTGACAAGAACTCCTGTGCAACAGCCACGTCGCGAGGACACCAGCCAGCGGCAGCCATTCTCGTGGCAGCCAGGCTGTCAAGCCCCCAAGTGCGGCCGCGGCCGAGGTTGAAAATGTCTTTGAGCGCGTGGTCCATGGTGCAGCCGAGCACGCCGAACGACAGCGTCACCTCCCAAGGCAGCGGGCTATCGGGGACGATAAGCAGGTTGTGGTAGATCTTGTTGATGGTGTTGAGGGCCACGCCGACACGGGTCAGCTGGGCGCGGCACTCTTCCACCGACTTTTTGGCGAGGGCTTCAATCTTGACGGCCCATGCTGATATGAGCCGTTCAAGGTGGCGCGTCGAGGCGCGGAACCCGTAGTCATCCATCTCGATGAAGAGGCTGAGGTCCGGGGGCTCATCCACAGTGAGCAATTCGCGAATAGCCCCATAGAACAGCCACGTCTGGAGAAAATCGGCGGTTTCTTCGCGCGGTTTTTGCGAAAAGTCACGGTTGTAAAGAGGGGTAAGTAGGAAGCCGCGGCGAGTCTGGTAGCCGTCGAAGTCAAGGCCATCATAGGGCTGTGAGGAGAGCAGCGGCACGCGGGGATATGGCTCGGACTTGTACTTGAAGTTGGGTAGATGATCCATGGTGACGGCTATTGATGATTTACGCACATCAATCTCATTGACAAAAACGGTCTGTCTTGCTCTTCAAAGACTGGTCATCGTTTGATGATTGTAGGCTTGGTTGCAGTCCGATGCTTGTATCGCGAGTTCTTAGGTCTGAGTGTCGCGATAATATCTTTATCATCTTCGTCGTAGCCCCTCAATTTTCAGCTTTCATGCAGGGTTGACTTGTAGCGCCGTCAACATCGGTGATGGTGTTACGGGGGCTCGGGTCTGGCCCAATAACCCGCGTCGCATGCAGGGTATGAGGCGCCACATCGTATCAGGGGTCTGAAGACGGTAGCATTATTTCGTCCCACGATGATGGGTGTTTCGTCTGACTGCTGTAGGGCTGTCTGGGACGAGGAAATGCTGCGTTGTCTGTCGGTCAAGACGACTGCCATCACAATGAGCCGGGCGAGCCCAAACTGCAATGTTGTGAGCGTGTCGGGATGTCGTCGCTGTAATGTGGAAACATCGTTCGCGGGCTTTACGCCCTCCCAGCACTGCCGCAAATGTCCATCCACCGCTCGACCTCGTTCTGCAGCACAGCCATTCCATCATCCATCAGCTGCGTCAATGGTTTGTGCGCGTTGGCCTTCAAGTGAGCGCTCCATACTTCAAGCAGCAATTTGTTGACGTTCAACTTGACGGCGCCATGTTGGATGCACCTGCGCATAAGATCAGGCGAGAAGTCGTTCGTGCCATGGAGCGCCATGATGACCCGCCCAGCAATCTGCCTGTTTATGGCCGCCAATCGGTCCAGGTCCAGCTGAGGACCTCGCGCGTCATAGTCGCCGTGGATATTGCCGACGCTCGGCGCCAGCAGGTCAACGCCTGCAGCGATAAAGTCCTCGACCTGTGCGGGGGACGTGAAGAGCGCTGTGTCGGAAGAGTCAGAGGCACGGTTAGACAACGAGGTGAAGGCCTCGCCGACTGACCTTGTAGGTTCCCCGTGTGCGCGATGCCATCTTCGCCACCGTTGATACGCCCGCTTTCGGCCTCGACGGCGATGCCGCGCTCGTGGCAGATATGCGTGAGATTTTTCGTCCTCTTTAGATTTTCGGCATGATCGTGATGGCTCATGTCGACCATGATGGAGTCAAAGGGGAGTTGATCCGCGACATGGCGGATCTGCTCTTCGTCCTGTGCGTGATCAAGGTGCAGAGACAGCGGGACAGTCGCCGACTTGACGGCTGCCGCTGCCGCCCAGGCCAGCGTCGGGAGCTGGGTGACGGTCGACGGGAACAAGAGCAAGATCAAGGGTGATCGCTTGGCTTCGGCGGCTCGGACGAGGGCCGTAAGATGCTCAATGTTGTAGCTGTGTCTGGTCAATCGCGTGTAGCGGGATGAGCGACAAGCACCTACCATATGGCAGCCAGCACACCGTAATGTCCATCAGACGCAGCTCGTACAATCTGCAGGGTTCGATTACTTGATGCGCGGGATGGATCCATGGCAACTATCGGGCGAAAGGCTTGAGCGAGAGGTGCAATGACAGAGGGACCAAAGATGTGAATAGCACAGGTAAGGCAGTCGGTTTGGGCGCTACGCCTTCCTCTCGAGTTTGGTCGACACAACATGTGACCGCCTCCGCTCGGCCGGGCAACGCGCACTCCAAGTGAAGCATATGCGCTACAATTGTCCAAGGCCGGTCTCTCATGGATGTGATGGATTGACTGCGCAGCGTTTGCTGCAAAATGGCAAAAGTGATTCAGGGGAGGCTCGAACTCCCGACCTTCAGTGTGTTAGACTGACGTGATAAACCAACTACACCACCGAACCGATGTTGAAAAGTAGACAGATTTGAAGAACTATAGCCAGCGCGTATCATGCCAAGATCCAGTTTACTGTCCATGTAGTCCAGACATTGGTATGAGCAACAGTACCGAATGTTACGCCTGAATTCACTCGGTTTCTATTGGGACCTTCCTTCCAATAGCACGATGTAAGCATCCACTTCCGGCTGAGAATCGCGTTTGCCTGATAAACGAGCATCAACTCAGTTCCCACATCGACACCAAACCATTCGTCCCAAAAACAGCTACCAATGGCCAGCCACTCTAGAACACCCTCCACGCCTCACAATACTTCGCCAAACATCTCTCATCGCTTGTCGCCACCCTCGTGTAACGATCAGCAGAAACGAAATCGCATGCGGGGTCGGTCGGCCTCCCGCAGAGCCCGAACCTATCAATGTCCCCGAGGCGGCACAGAGCTCTGGTGAGCAGAGCTGCATATGCATGATGCTGATGGGCAATCGCACAAGCAGGCAATGAAAGCTTTCGAGATCAATATGATCTTGAAAGCAAAGGACTTCCCCGCGTTCCATCTTGGGGAAACCAAATGTGCTCTCGCTACCAACTACAGAGCTCAGCCTCAAACAGATACAAACAGTCAGAGCCATGTTCCCTCCCGGCGTAGCCTTTGCCCTGGTACAGCGACCTCCTGCAAGTTACAATACCAACGAACAGCCCGACTGACGTTCTCTCTGCAATAGCTCACACTCCTGCTCCTTGGCGCAGCCATGTACGTCTTCCCACGAAGGACCAACTCTCCCGCCATGAAGATGTATCCCTGACGAGCAAGAACAGCACCCTCCACATCACCAGCGCGAACCTCTCCCTCCCCATCGCCCCCAACCTGACCCTGACGACCATCCTCCTCCTCCTCCTCGCGGCCCTCAACACCGCCTTTCAGCCGCGTCTCCTCCAGGCCGCCCGCACAACGCGCTCCCCGGTCGAGCGCATCCTGCCCCAGGCTCTGCAGTCGCTCCAAGCCATCCTGACGACGGCCCTCGCGACGCTCCTGCTGCAGTCCACCACCGCGTCATCCCCCCTCCTCGACTGCGCCCTCGCCTCAACCTGGCAGCGCCTCTTCCAGGCCAAAGACGCCCCGCACCTCCGCGCCATCCAAGACGCCCTCGACTGCTGCGGCTACCGCTCGACGCGCGACCGCCCCTGGCCGTTCCCGACCCGCGATGTCGACCCCGGCCGCTGCGCCGTCCGCTTCGACCGCCAGACCGCCTGCGCCGAACCCTGGCGCAACGCCCTCGGACGCAACGCCGCGCTCGGCCTCGCCGTCGTGCTCGCCGTCGCGGCCATGCAGATCGCCTCACTGGCTGTGGCGCGGGGGGCGGAGTCCTGGCGGGATGCGTGGTGGGCGCGTCGCGGCGGGTGGTGGTGGCGGGGCAGACGGCGTGGGCTTTCGTCTCCTGGTCGTGAAGGTGTTGTGCGGCCACTGCTCGGGGCGCCCGAGGCAGGGGACGAAGGGGCTGATTCGGATGTGCCTGTGAGCTATGGGGATTTGTCGCCGACGGCGAGGCCGCGGAGGGGCATCGACGATGGGGTCGTGGAGAATGGGTCGCGGGTGCAGCCGTCTTTGCTGGAGACGAATGCGTGGGGAGGTGAGTGATAGAGATCCTCGTGGAGGGCAGGCAGGGTGATGATGCCCAGGGGTCGAGCGATGGCAGGTTCCATTGGGAAGCCATGGCGGCGGAGGAGTCGGAGGTCAGGCACTTATGTCGCTAACCCATGTGGATGGATGTATGGGAACCAAAGGGGCATAACTCTGCATAACACGAGCGGCATTACGAGTCGTGCAGTGGTAGCAGCTACCTCGTCAATGGGAAATAGAGACGCAATTCGACCCAACATTCTTCTAGCTTCGACATGCCTGTTCATGTCTTAGAGCTACATCTTTACCGGCGTGCTTTGAGGCCAAAAACTTCCGCGTTGGCCATTCTGTAGTACCTCATTCTAGACATCTCTCGTGGCAAGAGGAGAAGTTCGTCTCGAGATTTTCAGGGCTGGTGCCTTTAGGTGACAGGCTTCTAGCCAGGAATATAATGCTATCAAGCAGCTGGGCTAATCATCAATGGTAGAGTATATGCTTACCATAGAACAAATAGACAACTTGAGATTTTGTTTTAACCATATCCTCCTAGTGCAGTCCTGTTGCCAAAGCTAGCGGATCAGCAGAATGAAAGTCTTCCGTAGATGATATCCGCAGTCAATTGTCGGGTAGGCGTTAGAACCACATGGATTCTGGCTATTCGTGTCCCCTTTATACGCTCTCTCATGGTCCCAGGCCCTTCCACTTAACCCTGTTCCGTGGCTCCGCAGTTGCCTCATGACACGCATGATATGAGCGCTAAGCGCTCGAGTTGAGGTTTGATTGCGGAGCCGAGGTGTCGGGACGATGATAGGTACATCGCAAACCAAAGTCGACTTTACTGCAACTATACAGCGAATGGCCTGGTCGCATATATTTCAAGCAAGCGATGTAGCTTATGCGTTCTGTTCAATATTCATGATCCACGGAACCTTAGACTGCAACTGAGCCAATCAAAGTATTCTCCGTCCGTTGCGCACCGCTCGAATGTGTCGGAAAATTAACCACATCGGGATCGGGTGCCCACCTCAGTCGTTGAGCAGGCGAAACCTGGTACTTGGATCTACTTGCACGCTTGCGAAGGACTGACTAGAGTACCCCGATTCTGGGGCGTACCCCATGGGGATGAAGCCTCCTAGCCTGAAGCTGCGGGCCTCGTCGAATACACAGCGAACGCCTACCTCGCGCGACGGCATTTACAAAAGCACATCGCCTCCGTGTGCCATAGCTTCCTGGCCGTATTGTTATTCCTCCAATCCTCTCCCCAATTGACTATCTGATTACGACATCTTGCTATCAAGCACGGCGATATGGCTGCGAATCCTAAATCATCCGCTGTCATGAGCCACAAACTCGATGCTGAGCACACGGAAAATGCTCTCGTGATAGAGCAGGTCGCTGAAGGCGAGACAACCCTATGGACATCCATGAAGGAGAACCCTCGCGTCATTATGTTTGCCTTTTTGGCCAATTGCGGTTCGTTTCTTTTTGGGTACGATATTCTTGTGCAAGGCGCCATCACGGCGCTTCCCATGTTTTCGTAAGTTCAACGCCATCCACAGCTTACGGAATTCCAACTAACAGCAATGGTCTCTGCCAGCATGACCTTTGGGTCCCCTTTCGGAGACCAGATGATTCTACCGGCGCTCTGGCAGGGTCTCTGGCAGGGCTTCAATGCCATTGGAATCATGATTGGCGCTGCAAGCAACGGCGTTGTCATGGATAGATTTGGCCGCAAGATCATGTTTGCCGTAGGCGGGCTCGTCTCATCTGTCGGTGAGTTCTGGCCATCAGGCAGGCAGTGCAAGAGAAAGTCGAGCTGACGAAACAACCTGCAGGCACTGCACTGGTCTACGTAGCATCCGATGTTGGAGGCGTGGACTCTAGACGTGGCGTGTTGCTCGCTGGAAAGTTCGTCATAGGCCTCGGCATGGGCATCTTGATGTCCACCTGCCAGACGTACGTCTCCGAGATCTCGCCTCCGAGACTTCGGACTGTCCTTCTTGGCTTCTACGCTTTCTTCATTGTGAGTATGAAATCGGTGCTTCACCCTGCATGCGCGGTAAAGAGCGGGCTCTTATTCTTTCGTGTTCCAGACCGTCGGACAAATGATGGCCATCTCCGTGGTCTTCTCTCGCGTCACAGTCATGGATTCTTCGGCGTTGAAGATCCCATTTGCCTCGCAATGGGCGTTTTCCGGCTACGCTGTTCTCGTAGCGGTCCTCGTCCCCGAGAGTCCCGTCTACCTAGCAAACTGTGGCAAGACCGAGCAGGCACGCAAAGCGATCCAGAAACTCACTCCACACGCATCTGTCGATGAGCGCATCTCTGTGATTCTGGCCACATCCGACCAAGAGACGACACCGGACGGAGAGGCTGCGACGTTCGCCGACTGCTTCAAAGGCACCGACCTCAGGCGTACGCGCATCGTTGCGGTCCTGAACACGCTGCAGCAGCTGATTGGCGTCTCCCTCATCGCCAACTCGACCTACTTTTTTATCATGGCGGGCATGTCCCCGACCATGTCGCTCACCATCAACCAAGCCGGCGTCGGCGCCAGTATGGCCTGCACGTTCATCTCGTGGTTCGTCATCGCCAAGGTCGGCCGGCGAGCTGCCATCCTCGTGAGCTTTGTCTGTGCCGGGGCTCTCTTCGTTGGCATGGGCATTGCCGGCTTCTGGCCTCGCGATGCACAGGCGCTCAGGTAAGAAGACAATTTTCTCACTACATGATCGGAAGGCCTAGCTGACATGATCTGTCAGGTTCATCGGCGTCGCGCTCGTCCTGGCCGCATGCTGCAGCAATCTCGGCACAGGCACAGCCTATCCCATCGTGGCAGCCGAGATACCGGCGACCAGACTGCGCGCCAAGACGCTCGGATTGGGCTTCGCGGTCAACGCATTCATGATGTGGGCTTTTAACTTTGTCGTGCCGTACATGTTCAACGCAGACCAGGGCAACTTGGGTGGCAAGATCGGGCTAGTATTCGCCGGGTTCTGCGTCGTTGGCTTTGTCGTCTCGTTCTTCGAGATACCCGAGACCAAGGACATCACGTACGGCCGCATCAACGAGCTGTTCCAGACCCGGACGCCGGCGCGGAAATTCAGGGCCATGGCCGTGTCCTATGAGGCGGAGGACACCGCTGCGACGGGCGACGCGTAGCTGAAGCGTGGGCCAAGGAGGGCTGAGCATATTGGACGCGGGCCAATCCTCGTCGGTAAACTAGGTGGTCTAGGTAGTCTAGCCTGTGGATTTGGATCTGATGCGGTTGTCATTACAAGTAGCCATCCGTCTAAAGAAGGGGGGCAGATCTTGTTCACCCACCCAAAGGTCTATACGACTCACCTACCCTTAGCCTATCTAGGTATCTTAGCTGTTCGGAGAAAATCGTTTCATTCATCCTGTTGGTCCTTTCACAGCGAAACCTTGCTTGCTGCTGGGCACTTAAAGTGGGCACTGATCCTCCTTGCATGTCCCAAAATTCCGTGCTCGCTTTTTTCCGTGTCACTCAACCGACATCTCATGTAACCATCGCTCGCAACGGACAGAATGGCAGAGCTCCAGCCTGTTCCTGCGCGGCTGACACGGCCCGGGCGACAGCGCATGACGACCAGCTGCGATTTTTGCTGCGGAAGAAAGATTAAGGTATTCCAATACCGAATCCCGTACCCCGATTGGTGTGGATTTTGGCTGAGCGCCCTGTCCTGCAGTGCGATGCGAAGAAGCCGGCATGCACCAACTGCGAGCAAGCTGGGCGAGTATGCGAGACGCGGCGACAGATCATGAAACGAGGGAGGAAGACGCGACAGCTGCGATCGTCGGACAGATCCGTGGACGTGCCTAACCAGGCTGCCGCGGAACTGCCATCGTCTCCCCTCGCCGAGGTTGATCAGTCTGGCCCTCGTCGCTGTCCCCCGCCCGTCCGTCATCTCGAACCGCTTGCACAGGGACCCGAAGACAACAATGGCGACGGGTTTCATAATGATGTCGACCCGGATGACGAACGAGCAAGTCCAGGCGAAGGTCCCGCGGCGCAGACGTCGTGTCTCGATGAGAGCCCGCCGGCTGTCTGCGCCGCCGATGATCACTTTCAATCGCGGACTCTGTGGCAGCGTTTGCAAGCCGCTGGCGTACGGTCGAGCGACGCTGTGACGTACATCGGGGCCACTCTCGAGCTCTTTTATGCCAACATCTATCCCATCTTCCCCGTCCTGTACCGGCCAGACGCCGACCGAGCTCTTGACGCGATGCGGTGGCAACCACAAGAGGGTGGCATTTGGAGCGACAGAGCATTTTCGCTGCTGGCAGCCGTGTGTGCCTACACGCTGGCAGTTCTCCCTCCATCCGTTTCAGGCGCGAACTGGGCCATCTCGGAAGCGTTCTTCCAAGCTTCAAAATCAAGTCTGGACTCGTATGCCGTGGCTGACATCGAAAAGCCAAACAGCTCCTCGGTGTTCATTCGCCATCTACACGCGGCATGGCAGTATACAGCCGGCAGGTCCGATGTGTCCTGGTATATCATGGGAGAGGCCATCCGGCTTGCTTTGTCCATGAGATTGTTCGACGAGCGATCCTACGACGCGATGGAGTATATCGAGGCTCAAATGTGCCGTCGTGCATTCTGGCTGCTGTATTCGTCGGATAAGTCGGCTGCTGTTTCGGGACGACGCGTGATCGGCCTCAGTAGGACTCTGTTCCAACGTGTGATCCCCCCGGCTTATCCCGCAGATCTCGGCGACCAGGACAGAGTTTCCATGACCACGTCCGACGGTCTGGAGCAGGAATTTGGACTTTCCAGTGGCTTCAATGCGAATCACGATCTGTGGCGCGCCTCGGAAGAACTGCTTGCTCATGATGACGAAGCTGCCGGGAATCCCATGCCAGAAAGCCATTTCGTCACACGTATTGATCAGAATTTCAGGTGTCTGTCAGCTGCGTACTACAGATTCCAGACGTGCTTGGAGGGTCTGCCGTTCGTCCTTGGTTTCCATGACGCATTCGACGCCACAGTCCATAGCTTCAGGTTTCGCGCCGCGGATGAAGTGCGAGCCGAGGTTCCTTTGGCCCTTCGCATACAGCGGAGCAACCTGCAGATCACGTATCAAGCCCTGAAGATGGTTTGTCTGCGAAAGTACCCTTCGCTATTCCGGAGCCCCAGGCTTGACTGCTTGGACATGCCTGCGGTGTCCATCGCCTCCGCCTGCTCACCAGCGGGTTTGTACGCGGCGGACATCCCGAGCATGGTCAACGGCTCACCATCGAGCCATGTAGGGACTCTCGACTCGAACACGTCTGTGTCTCATAGTGCGGCAACCGTGCCACAGCCCGAGGCACCTTTCCGACGCCATGCCGTGATAGAGGAGACCATTCGAATCACGAGAGACATTCTCTTTGTCATCCACACTTCCGGCTTGGAGGTGCTTCGGCTGAACGGCGAGGCTTGCGCGGATAAAATCCGCATTGTTGGGGCATCCATCCTTGAGCTTCTGGCACACCAGCCCCTTGGGCTAGCTTCGACTCTATCGAGGGACGCTACAAAGTATGCGGAACTGTTCCCCCACATTCTAGCCATGCTGGACAGCAAGGCAGCTGACCAGGTGGGAAAAGAGCGCGGGTGATAGTTCCGGCCAGTCTATTATCCGCTATTTTCCGTCGACCCCATCGATACCTGCCAAGGCGTCGAGAATCGAAGGCTGGACCTCCGAGAATACACGGCACTAAAGTCAAGCCGTGGGCAGCTTGATGAGTTACGAAACAATGGTGCTATTGGCATTCGTCACTCTTACATTCAATCGGACGAATGCTCTCGTCCTGCAGTATTCCGTTGCAACGTCTTCCTATCCATAAAGAACTGGGTGGTCCGCCTCTTGATCTCTTGGTGTCAGAGTACTCTCTCTCTCTCGACGCCAACAGCATGTCACTCGGAAACGAAGAGATAAAAGCCCATTCCTCGGCTGCTGCCCACAGCCCCGCGGACATCTCTGAGGAGCCCCTGCCCCGAGATTTCGAGTATGGGACGGCCACGGCTGCGTACCAGATCGAAGGAGGTGCATATCAAGACGACAAAGGGCTTTCCATCTGGGATGACTTCACCCATCAGGAGCCCAGCAGGAGCAGCGGGACAAACGGCGATGTCACATGCGACCACTACAACCGCTTCGAGCAAGATGTCGCTCTGATGAAGTCCTACGGCGTCGACAGCTACCGGTTCTCGATCAGCTGGCCGCGTATCATCCCCCTCGGAGGCCGTAGGGACCCCGTCAACGAGAAGGGTGTCGACTTTTATAATCGTCTCATCGACTGCCTCCTCGCGCACAAGATCAAACCCATCGTGACGCTGTTCCACTGGGACCTGCCTCTCGAGCTCGAGAAGCGCTATGGCGGCCTTCTCAACACGGACGAGTTCCAAAGGGACTTTGAGAGCTATGCTCGCGTCTGCTACGCGCGCTTCGGCGACCGTGTTGGGAGGTGGATCACCTTCAACGAGCCCTACATCTTCAGCATCATGGGGTACCACATGGGCGTCTTCGCACCGGGCCACAACGAGGCCGGTGGCTTCGACACAACGAGGGAGCCCTGGCGGGTGGTGCACAGCATGATCGTCGCCCACGCCAGCGCCGTCGAGGCGTACGCTTCAGAGTTCAAGGACCAGCAGCACGGGGAGATCTCCATCACGCTCAACGCCGAGTACGCGGAGCCCTTCGACCCGGCCAGCGAAGCCGATCGCATGGCGTCGCAGCGCCGCATGGAATTCTACCTGGGCTGGGTGGCGGATCCCGTCTTCCTCGGCGCCGACTACCCCATCGCGATGCGCGCCCAGCTCGGATCCCGCCTCCCTGACTTCACGCCCGAGCAGAGACGTCTTGTCCGGCGCACTGCCCCTCTCAACACGTTCTTCGGGCTGAACCACTACTCGTCGCGCTATGCGCGCGCGCGGGACGCGGCGCCGGCGCCGGACAACTTCAACGGAAACGTCGAGGAACTGCACTTCAATTCGGCCGGCGAGGACATTGGCCCGCTCTCCGGCGTGTTCTGGCTGCGGGCTGCGCCGGAGCAGTTCCGCAAGCTGTTGAGGTGGATCTGGACGCGCTACAGCAGGCCGATCTACATCACCGAGAACGGGACCGTCTGTCCGGACGAGGAGAAGCTGCCGGTCGAACAAGCCGTCAAGGATGACTTCCGAGTCCGGTACATCGCGATGTATCTCAACTCTGTCTCCAAAGCCATCTATGAGGACGGCGTCGTTGTCAAGAGCTACACGGCCTGGAGCCTGATGGATAATCTCGGTGAGTGTGATCTCCCGACTTCAGATCCCATGTGGGTAGGTTGTGTCATGCAAATCATGCTAATTGCGAAACTCGACAGAGTGGTCCGCGGGTTATGCGCACCGTTTCGGCATCACGCATGTCGATTTCGACACCCTTGTCCGCACGCCGAAGCAGTCTGCTTTCTACCTCCGTGAGACCATGGAACGACGAAGGGGGCGAGTATCGAATGGACTCAAGGCGTCGTGATGGAAAAAATTGTATTTGTCTATTTCTATCGCATGTACTTGTGCATTGTCTTCTCGTTTTTCTTGTTCTTTACTCACGCTGTCATCGTCTCTAATGTCCCATTCTCGCCGCCTAGGCTTTCTGCCGAGCAGCAATCCTCAAGGTCGCATCTAGCTGGCACGGTAGCGCATGATTTTACATCCTGGTGAATGATTTGCCAGGGCAGTGTATAGATGGAACACAATTTTTCTCTTCACCCTCAGCAAAATCCCCAAGTACCTAGTCATACTTATTTCACAAAGAGCGCAACGTGTCCTGTACATCATACACCCGAGTTGTGCTTGTCAGTCGCTGACGGCGTAAATTTCGTAGTCATAATCGGCCACAATCCAGGCACCTTCAACACCGACCCGGAATGGCCCAAGCCTCCGAGCAGACCTGATTCTGTCGTTTCTCATGACAAGGCTTGTGCGGATCATCGTCGTCGTTGTAGTCAGTCATTTCGACACCCAACTGGGCATCTCGCCGTGCCCGCAGTCTTCTCGCAATCCGGTCCTTGATCTGGCCTCCCGTCGCGCCGCGATCCCCAACTGCATACGCTTTCAGTGCTTCAACAAGCGGACAGTATCTATGGCCAGGCCACGAGACAGAGAGTAATGTCGCAGATCGGCGCAGCTTGCCCTGCGAGACTCCATCTCAGCCACGAATATGGTCCTTCGTGAGCGAGGCAGGCTGCCCGTACCCAATCGTGATCAATGCAGTAGTTTGGCAGTGGCCGGAATATTACAGCTTGTAATCTAGCGAAATCCAGGTGTACAACTTCGCCAGACAAAATTGCACTACCTGCCAACCCACGCTATATTTCGGGAAGTGGAGGAGGAGGAGGAGGGGCGCTGGTCTCGGAACATGGACTTGACTCGCTGGCTTGCGCCGTGGGGAGATGGAGCGTGACTAAGTAAGAGCAGCGCTCTACTGCAGACCAAGGCTCATGGGGTTCAAATCGAAAGTAGCCATCATCAAACTGCAGACGTTTTGTGTTGGCAACGTAGGCCCTCCTCCTTTGGCCAAGGCACTGTTCGTGTTCTTGTCTTTGCTCGCACGCAAACATCCTCTCGTTGTCGGTTGCTTCTTTTCCCGTCTTGCAAGGCGTCCACAAACTCGGGAATGCCTCTACACATAGCTCCCACATCTCGTATGCGTCCAGAAAAGTGCCCAAGGCATGAAAATTATAAAGGGGTATTCATTTTTTATGTAACCGCAGCCGGAAGCTGCCCGTCCACTCGCCTATATCCAACACGTCTAAAAATGCAGAGCGTCTAGAAGTTGACAGCATGCCCGCCCATCCTGCTGACCCGAGGATCCCACTTCTGCCTTTGCTGCCGATCAATCTCCCCGTCCTCCATGTCCTCCTTCTCCATCATGGCGCGCCTCCGCGCGCGGCCGGCAAACGGGCCCCTGCCCTTGCGGTACGCCCAGCCAATGAGGCCGCCAATGGTCAGCACGCCGGCGACGAGGCCGAGCGAGATGGGCAGCGCCGGCATGAGGGCGCCGCTGCCGGAAGAGCCCGTGTTGGCCTCCTCGGCCGTGGGCAGGGGGGCCAGCGACGAGGTGGACGCGGGCGGCGGGATGGCGAGCGGGAGGGTGGTCGTCGGTGCGGCGACGACGAGGGTCGTGGGCTGTGGGGGCGCGACGATGAGCTCCTCTTCTGAGGAGGTCGACGCCGAGGGGCCTGCGCGGATGGAGGAGAGCAGGGTCGTTGGCGGGCGGGTGATGGCTGAAGGCAGGTCCGAGGGGATGCCGGTTTCTGAAGTCGTCAGGGACGTGGGGAGAGGGAGCTCTGAGGAGGCTGTGAGGCCGGGGATTGAAGGTTCGTCGGTGGCATCATCGTCTGCTGGCCTTGATGGTGTTGAGGAGGGACTGTCTGAGCTCGTGGGTGTGATTGTTGGTCGCTCGTCAAGATCGACGGATGTGGGCTGGGGTGATAGCGTCGAGGAGCGGCGATGTTCTTCTCGTCGGCACGGAGAAAGGGAGGAGGGTGGGCGTGGGCACGCATGCCGACAGGAGGTCGTTGAAGAAATCGGCCATGATGAAAAGCGGGATGCGTGTGAAAGATTTTGGGTATAATGCTGCCGTGTCTTGACGGTGATGATAATGTGCCGCCCTGTCGTCAATGTTCGAGATGGTGGTGTTGCAATACTGATTCAATGAGATGCTGTCTGATGCTTGAGACGGGTCTGATGTGTGAGATGCCGTCTGATGTGTGAGATGCCGTCTGATGTGTGAGGTCTCGTCTGACGTGTGAGGTCTCGTCTGACGTGTGAGATCACGTCGCGTGATGGAGTGAGTGAGCGAAGGTGAGGGACGTGAATCCGAGTCGAGGGTTCAAAACGAGGGACCCAAATCCAATACTACGTTCGCCGCCAGGGAAAAGATGATAATGGGGGGGGAGGGAGAGAAACGGATGGTGCGAAGAAGGAGACAAGGGCTTCTCAATATCAATAGGAAAAAAAAGGAGAGGCAGGTTCGGTTCACAAGCCACCCGAAAGGAAAGTCCAGCTCTCAATCGGTCGAATCAGGAAGTCGTCGAGAATTCCTCGCAAACAATAGAGTCTCCTTCCAAACCTAGCACAGGAATGTGGGAAGGAGGGAAGGGGGGGGGTAGGAGAGGGCCTGGCTATCTTTAAACGGCGAGGCACGAGAAGAGAGTATGCGCCGTTTGGGACACTTGGGAAGGCGTGGGACGTCGGCACCCGGCGCCAGTGACGCACGATCTGCGGGGTGATCTGCAGGGGTCCGCGTCGCGCTCGCGCTGCCCGAGGCTCTGCGGCGTGCGTTTGTTTGGCTATGTAGTGGTCTGCAGTGCACTGGAGCCCTGAGGCCAAGGGACCCCGGCCCCTTGAACCCCTGATCCAGGTCTCGAGCACAGCGGCAGTCGCCCTGGGCCTATCCACTCCGCATCCGTCCTTGACTCGACACCAGGCCCACGCCTTGAACGCTGATGGGGGCCTCCCTCCGTTTCAGATCCAGAGGCGGCGCCAATGCTTCTGCCACGGCTTCAGCCAATGTCGTCTGCCATCTGAATCTCTCTTCCCGTCCCACACTGCCTCCTGCCTTGCCTTGCTTGCCTCTTGGCCTGCCTTACCTTAGGTGCCTGCCTCAAGTCGCTGAGGTACCTTGAATGCCTCCAAGATCGCCACCTAGTCTCCGCCTGAGGACCCAGCACCCCCTGACCATCCTTCCCAAACCAGCACGACGGCCCCCTTGGCGCGTCCTTTTTCGTCAAAAAGTCCAGTGACCGACCTTTCGGCACTCACCTGCCATGCGCGATGGAGTCTCCGGGGTGTATGTTTGCGACCTCGAAATGCAGACTCCAGAATGTTTCCGCGTCGCCGCCCGCCGTTTCTACTGTCCAAGCCCCCAAAAGCCCCTCCCCCACCAGAAAAGGCCAAGCCCACCACCCTCAGGAACGCACGAGTCCCCACCACCACCACAGTCTGTTTCTCCCTTCTGCGCCTCAGACCCTGGCCCCCCTTTCCTTCACCTCAGCTGGGCCCCCCCCCCCCCCAATTGTTTCCCACCAGCCTCTGGAAATGCCGCCTCGGCACTAGCGAAACTCCCCGTACGTCCAAGCTGCCTGACCCAAGTAGAACGCGAGGACCAAGAGGCCAGCGGAATACCGCACGCTGGCATGTACGATAAACTAGCACCATGCACGAATGGGACAAACTCCCTTCCGCAACCGAACCGACCAGCCAGCGGCAGCAGGGACGTGCTCAGCCAGGTCCACGCACAGATCAACAACACCCGCGCACAGAGGCGCCCACCCCCTTTTTCCACAGAGCCCAGCTTCACCCCTCTAAATCACATCCCCAGCAAGGCCGGGCCGCCAGCGCGCTCGTCTGTCATCACGAGGAACCGCCCAGCAACAAGGGCAGAAAGCCTGGTGCCCCTACTCGAGCCAGTGACGTGAGAGCAAATCCCAACACCCTAATGACAGTCCAGACAAGAGCCCAACGTCTTTCATCAGAGCCTGGCAGCGACGAAAGATCATCGTGCACACGTGCCTGTGCAAGTGACACCGACTGCAACCTGATGAAGTCATACAACATCACGATCTCCGCTCATGAAACGCTCCCAAACAAATGAGCCAGCTTTTCCGAGAAAAATCAATTGTCTATCCATTTTCAAGGCGGGTGGGTTGTTACATTTTCCCCCGTCCCTCCCCCTGTCACCGTTGTAGCTACTTGATGCAGAACCTGCGCTCATGATGTGTGTTGTGCCGAAGGACGAAACCCGGAGTTTGGTATCGGACTTGCTGCTTCTGCTGCTGAAGCAAAACGAAGGAAAAAGAAAAAACCAAAGAGTGGAAAGTGACACAGGAAAGAAAAAAAAAGTGAATGAGGAGTAAATGTGTTACTATTACAAGCAAAGTTACCTGTTCCCGTGGCCGAAACTTGCAGTTTCACTTTCATACAAGCCACTGAAAATGTACACACGAACGAAGCGGTGGCACCACGTCACCTTCTCACCCTCTCACCACCCCAATGGCAATCACTCTTACGCCTTGTCCACTGGCTGCGGCTGCGCTGGTCCGGTCCACTTCTCGTCGCTGTCCCGGCGACCCTTTTCCTCCTGCAGTGGCGTCGAGTCGTTCATGCCCGAGGACGTCGACGGCTGGCGCTCAATCGGGGACAGGCCGCCAATGCTGGCAGCGATAATGCCAGGCATACCGACAGCCGATCCCATGGCGGATCGCATCGGCGACATGGACGACCGTTCGTCTTCTGAATTGGAGCCACCCGTCCTGCTGCGGCTGCGCGTGCGTCGGACCGCCTCCACAGGGTGTACGATGGCATCGCCAACAAGGTAGATGCGGCCGCCGCGGATTCGCTTGAGGAAGAGCAGATCGTCGCGGATACCCTGGAACGCTGTGCCGACGCCGTTTTGTGTCTCCTCGTCCGACTTGTTCTTCTTGCGCTTGAGGAACTTGGGCATCGGGATCCTGGGCATGTGCCTGTCCACCCAGTGGGCGCACGTACGGACGATCGAGTCGGGGAACAGACGGATCAGAACACCAATCGGGATCGAGAGGAAGCCGAGCACAAGCGAGATGCCCCATTGGGGTCCGGTCAGGGGTACCACGACAAAGGCGTCGCTGCCGACGAAAACGATGAGAACCTGGCCGCCCACCATGATGGCAAACATGACCAAGAAGAGGCGGTTGCGCGACAGACCCTCAAAGATGTTCAGCTCGTTGTCGAT